AGCTTTAAAAAAAGTTAAAAAACGAAGAAGTATAGTTTGCCCCAACCGTGGATTTGTAACTCAATTAATATTATTTGAAGAGATGTTGTATAAAGTAAATCCGAATCATTTACGTTATAAGAATTATCGATTAACTTGTGCCGCGGATAAAGTAAAGAAAGCTAAAATTCTCCCCCAAGATTACCACGATTTAATAAAAAGGGATCCGGGTGTCACTCAAATCCAACCAGAACCAAACGTTTATAGGTGTAAACGATGTAGAAGAGTTTTAGCTGGCGAATCTAATTTAATTACGCATAAAGAAAAGATTAGCGATGAAAAAATTTGTCGAAAAACGTATTTTTTGGAGCCGTTAAGTTGGATGAACGGAATTACGCAATCCGTGCAAGGAAAATTACATTGTCCGAAATGTAACAATAAAGTTGGATCGTTCAGCTGGGTGATGGGATGTGCTTGTCCATGCGGATGTGAAGTTGCCCCCGCTTTTTATCTTACTCCATCCAAAATTGATTGGACCAATGTTGTAAAAAATGTTGAAATTACCCTATAACTTAAGATGTATTGTTATTTAAGTTAATTAAAATGTTGTGTAAAATAAAATTTATTTATATAAAAATATTAGTATAGTAAAACCTTGATGTGTAATGGATTAATACAGGTAAAGGGGTGACCCTTACATCCAAAAGTCCATTATATGAATAATTGGTGACTTTATATTTATACCAAGGATAATAATAATTAAGGACTTTATTACTTGAATATGTACAGGGTGGGCAAATTTGGGTGTTATTATAGGCTATCTCAGAAACTGTAAGAGATACGAAAAAAGTAGGTGCCATGTCCCGGTCTCTTTTTTCGAGACTAGTCCAATCCCGCAAAGACCAAATCTCTATCTTCTTTTGTTTTTAAGTTCGTTTATTTATTTATTTATTGTGTTATTTATTTATTTCGTTTATTTTTGAAATTAGAGAAATGGGGTTAATACATTCTACAGGCACTTTTTTGACTTACTTAGTTACTATAGCAACGTGAGCTTACTTGTCATTTCATTCATGAATTTTACGAAACGAGTTTCTCGTTTAAGAAGTTCCGCATTATCTTTAAATAAAACGATAAAATTAAATACTTATAGAATATATTGGAGTCCGCTTTGAAGATGATACATAAGTCTTCATATCCCCATTGAAACGGTGTTTCAATGGAAAGTCCGCTCCCAGTTTATGATCCCTAATTTTCTTCTATCTCATCCAATTTCAAAAGAAAAAATTGCTGATATCAAAAAACTTCTAAATCTTATGTTTGGGGAAAACTGGGAAAATACTACCGAAGATTTCATTCATTGATACCGAACTGTTCTAATCTTACAACCAGTAAGTTGAGTAGAAGAAGATGACAGTTTATGACTGTTTAGTTCCTGAAGTTGTCCATATTTAATTATTCATTAATTAAAACATTTCTTGTATTTTTAATAAACAAACTTTAAATGCTAATCATTTTTTATTGGTAAACAAAGTCAGGGATAAGATGCTGAGAAATTTAAATTAACTATTCAAAGTTTTTATTCGTTGGTACAAAACCAACTTATCCTGAATAATGGTACAAAACCAACTTTATTCTGTCATATTCGTGCAAAACCATATATTATAGCCACTAGGTAGTATTTACTGTCCGGACACGCCTACTATAATCAAAATTTTGAACATTAGCGCTTACTATTTTCGAATTGAAAATTAACGCTTATTTTCTGCAAATACACCATACATGCGATACATCATTGGAAAGCTAAAAATATGCTCTTTTCTTTAACATCATAATCAAGTATAGTTTGTATTTAAAAAAACACAACTTTGTGTTATATCTCAAAAATCATCAAGTATATTTAAAACTTTTCAACGGCAGTATATTCTACTTAAAAAAGTGTCTTAAGAACGTATCAACCCCATTTCTCTAATTTCAAAAATAAACGAAATATGAGCATTTTTTGAAATCACGAAAATTTGACTTTTTGGCTATAACTTAAAAACAAAAGAAGATAAAGGTTTGGTGTTTGCGGGATTGGATTAGTCTCGAAAAAAGAGACCGTGACATGGCACCTACTTGTTTCGTATCTCTTATAGTTTCTGAGATAGCCTATAATAACACCCAAATTTGCCCACCCTGTACAGTGTACATAATTAATTATCGTACCCGACGCACAGTGGTCCGAGCGGCAAGAACACCCGATCGAAAATATTATTTTGTTGTTAGCAATTAGCTGTAATATCTGCCGATAATTCCGAATTAGCAAAAAATCGTCCCGCAGTATTTCCATCATTCGATGTTGCATAGTTTTGCTTTGGTACATCAACCAAAAGCCCACACGTTCGATGAAATTTTTCTTGTATAGATCTTTTTCGATCCTCCACTTTATTTTTTTGTACTTTGGGAATCTGAACATAAAATATCTTTAGGCATGTGTTACACATAAAGCTATGTATGATAAACCATTTACCTTCCAAGTTTTAGTTTCTAGTCTGTAGGCTATGAGAAGCAAACATTCAAAAAATCGAATGTACGCGTGCAGAACTGACAGATCAAATTTCATCTCTGAAATTTTTGCTTTACATATACAGGATGTCCCGTATCTTCCGCATCAGAGCATTATACGGTTGTAGGATACATTATTCGATCTTTCTAATAAAAATTTTTCGAAATGTTTATAATAACCGCACGGGAACTGTTTTTCGTCCAATCAGCAGATCGCAATCAGACTCAGGTAATCGGTGCCACCCTACGCCGATGATAACTCGTTTCCCACTCACCAATAGATTCGTCACGCGAAGAGAAATAAACTTTTTCGGCGAATCAAACTCGTCCGCTATTGTACAAAAGCGGATAACTTTAAACTGTTCCCGTGCGGTTATTATAAACATTTCGAAAAATATAAGTAAACCATAGAATTTGAAATTTTGTAACTACTGGTTATTACCTATACCTTATTTTCAAGCATACCTTGAGCTTCCCTAGCGCCCTCTAAGGGGATGAAATTCACAACCCCTTTGATTTTTTTATAAGAACTTTTTATCGCCATGAAATACTTACATAAGAAAATATGGGTTTTAGAGCCCATTCTTTAGTGCTACTTTTTTGTCTCTTTAATTTTTTCCTTAAAGTTAATAGTTTTCGCGTAAAAAAATAAAATATTGCGCTATGTACTGATTGCTATGTGCCGCCATGTTTACTTAAAATTGTTCTAAAAGTTGGCTCTGAGTTTTATTTACGTTGAATCCTCATAATTGTTGATGATTATTAATAATTTTTGACTGTTATTAAGCAGGAGTAACAATTTTTTAACATTGTTTATACATATAATCAATTATACAGGGTGAGTCAGAAAGAATGGGAAATCCGAATACCGGAGATAGTAGACACCAAAATATGACGATTTAACCTAACATGTCTTATACAAATGTCGGTGGTTTTTAATACACAGGGTGTTGAAAGTTAAATTTTTATTTCGAAATTTCTTGATAACTTTGAAGGTTTTTGTACTATTAACATAAAATTTGGTAGTTAGATGTTTTCGAGCATGAGAAATACGAATTTGATATTTGTTTTGTGATTACTCGTAGAGGGCGCTAGATACACACTGTATGTTTGAGATATCAAGTCATGACTATTTTGTCAGTTGAGGTATGGTGAATTAGAACCAGAAATCTGAAGGAGTTTTCAATTCTGCACAAAAAAGGTACTCTTGCTTACATTGTCTAAGGGCCGGTTGTACCACCTCCCGAGAAGTTTATCCGATAGATAGATTGGCGCACTTAGGCTCGTTACTACCATCTTCTGGTTAAGCTATCTAAGGGATTATTACCATGGTTACGGCTATTTTACGCGCTCTCATTGGCTAGTAGATGGGTTTATCTATTAGATAAATTTAACTAAAAGATGGTAGTAACGAGCCTTAGCCAATGAGAGCGCTTAAAACCGCTGTAACCATGGTAATTATCCGCTAGATAGTTTATCGGGAGGTACAACCGGCCCTAAGTCTACTGGTTTCCAAGTTATCTGCTTTTAATTGTTTCAAAGTAATTTTAAGGTTAACATTTAAAATCAATAACACACAGTAACTATAGCAATTAGTAACGATAATAATCGATAACAATAACAATTGATTGATAACAATAGAATATTGTGACCATTTTCAAAAATCCAGTGGACTTAAATCTGGATTTCTCACTATTAAAAAACTCATTATGTCGTGGCATTTTCAAATTGATAATAACTTTATTTTTGGTAAAAATGATTATTGTACACGAAAATTAGATCAATGTTGACAATTAACTTTGCTTATGTTAAAAAATAAATATTTTAGAAATACATTTAAACATTTAAAAGTAAATAATTCGAAAACCGATAGACTTAGACAATTTCAATAAGAGTACGTATTTTATGTAAAATTGAATCCTCTTTGTAATTTGCAGCTCTTATTGGTCGTAGCTGTCGAGCCAAAAAACTTATGATTTGATTTATCAAACGAGCAGCGTGTATCTAGCGTCCTCTACGAGTAATAACAAAACAAGTTCCAAATTCGTATTTCTCGTGCTCGAAAACATAAAACTACCAAATTTTATGTTAATAGTACAAAAACCTTCAAAATTATCAAGAAATTTCGAAATAAGAATTTAACTTTCAACACCCTATGCCTCGAAAACCACTGACATTTGTATAAGAGATGTTACGTTAAATCATCATATTTTGGTGTCTACTATCTCCGGTATTCGGATTTCCCATTCTTTCTGACTCACCCTGTATAATTGGTATTATATGTCTGTGGCGGTGCATAAAATTCTTCTGCATGGCCACTTAATAATAAAATCATTAAGTATTCCGATTGGCCTGCTTTCAGAAGAAGCGAGAAACTAGGAATAAAGACCTTAGAAGGTATAGAGAATGGACAAGAAAAATGTCCAGAATACACAACAATGGAGACATTTTAAACAGACTATTAATATCTTCAGGGCCAATTATAACATCATTTCATAGCAAGAAATCAAAGAATAATGCAGATTTTCCTGAAAAGTCTTCTCTGCTTTGAAAATGATGAAGAAAGAAAAGATTTTTTATCGTCAATTGCAACTAATATTGAAATTGTAGAACAGAGAAGTGGAAGAAAAATAAATATAGGTATAAAAAAGAAATTTTAAACAGTATGTTAAAATACTAAATATGCTTTTGGGTTAAAACATAATTTATGGCTATCATTACATTATTTTTTTTAATTTGTCACAAATTATCACAGAAACAGAGAATAGCGTAGTTCACTCTATTATTGCAAATAAAATATAACATGACATGAAACATTCAGAATTTACGTAGAATCCATAAATGCAACAAAAAAATATGGGTTCCTGTTTTAAAATGTCAACTTAGGCATGGTATCTCAATTTTGGGACACCTGTACATTTCAATTTTATCTGAAAAAATGCGCGTTAAAAATATAACATAGATGTCCAAGCCTTTTTTCTGGAAGAATATCCCCCGAATTTTTATCGAATTGATTCCATACTAAATATAAATAATAAAAATATAAATGTACCATGTTTTCGGAGTTATATTAGTTTAAACATCCAACCCAACCCACAACAAAACCTTTGTTTCGCTTTTATTTTCAAATATTCGTTTCAACATCCTAAATTTTGTTTTAAGCACTGTTGATAGATGAAATAAATCCTATCTAACCATTAAGAAGATATTATAAAGGTATTAAAC